AGGAGCAAAGGGCATCGCTACTACGAGCAAGGACGCTACTAGGGGCTCCTGGCATTGCGGCATCACCACTAGTAGCATTCTTACTACTAAGAACAAGAAGCTACTAGGAGCAAAGGGCGTCGCTACTACCAGCAAGGACGCTACTAGGGGCTCCTGGCATCACTACTAGTAGCATTCTTACTACTAGGAACAATAAGCTACAAGGAGCAAAGGACATCGCTACTAGGAGCAAGGACGCTACTAGGGGCTTCCTTTCAGAGCTGCCAAGGCTCATCTTCTGCGTCTTCGGCGATGGCCGGGAAGCGGTGGAGGGGACGAGAACCAGCTGGTCATGGGCGTAGGTCGAGGTGGCAAGGCTCTTTGACTCTTCAAATAGTGCCAACTCCATCCCGGTGGACTCGTTGTCGGTGGTGACTGAGATTTGACGCAAAAGCTTCGGCAGGCCTGCAAGGGGGCCTTCATCTATGTCCATGAGTGCAGGAGTTTGGGAAAACCCTGGCAACTCGCTTGTAGCTTTTCGGCTACCTGAACGTGAGATGGTACCAGGTAACTCGCTTGTAGCTTTTCGGCTACCTGAACGTGAGATAGTACCAGGTAATTCGCTTGTAGCTTTTCGGCTACCTGAACGTGAGATGGTGCCAGGCAATTCGCTTGTAGCTTTTCGACTGCCAGGGCGTGAAGGAGTGCCAGACAATTCGCTTGTAGGTTTTTGGCTGCCAAAGTGTGTGGTGGAAACGAGCAGTTCGGTGGCAGCAGGCTGTTCGCTTGTAAGGCCAACATGTAAAGCCAGCGATTCTGCAGTTGCTCTCAAGCTAGCAGGATGTTCATAATGTGTGACAGTGGCAGCCAACTCCCCTGTCAGGTGCCGGCTGCTTGAACGTGAGATTGCCATGGGCAACTCTCCTGTTGCATGCCGGCTGCTTGAACGGGAGATTGCAGTGGGCAACTCCCCTGTCGGCTGCCGGCTGCTAGAACGTGAGACGGCAGGCAACTCGCCTGTTGCATGGCGGCTGCTAGAACGTGAGGCGGCAGGCAACTCGCCTGTTGCATGGCGGCTGCTTGAACGGGAGAGTGTAGAGGGCAACTCTCCTGTTGCATGCCGACTGCCTGAGCGTGAGATGGTGGTGGCCGACTCCCCTGTAGCGTGCCGACTGCTTGAACGTGAAATTGGGACCAGCAAATCTGCACTCTCATGCCTAGTGCTGGCTCGCGAAACAGTGGAGACTCCTCCGGTTGAAAGGTGTCTTCCCTCTTTCGACCCCTTTCTCGGCTCCAAGCTCCTGCTGTTCGCTGCATCTGAGCTGCCCACTGAAGTCCGGTGATCTTCCAGAAAGTTCGAGCGATCCTCGCTTTTGGGGCTGCGCGCGGAGTGTGGAGCCCGGCGAGGGTCTTCGGCCTCGGAGGCAATCTGAGCCTCGCTCGCCCATTTGTTTAAGGCCTGAAGGTCTGCCACCACCTCAATCGCCGGCATGGAGCCTCAAAGATCCTCCCATCTCTCCATGGCCAAACGGCCGGCCCCCTAACCAGCTTCTTCCCGGCCAGAAAACTGAGCGGAAAAAAAAACGGCTGCAGATGAGATTCATGAGACTTGTGAGAAATGTTTTTCAGATAAAGTCCCTGGCTCCTCCCTTCCACTTTGCTGACTACCTAGACCGTGAATCAAAGACATGAAAGCTGGGGGTCAGGTTAGTGGCTGCCAAAGACAAAGGAAACAGCATCAACTCAATTCCTCCTCGAATGCTCTAGCCAGATCTCCGTGCCTAGAAAGGCACCTGCGATGGGCTTGTCCGAGAAAAGAAACAGCGAAGCTGGGCAATGTAGCTGACCTCAAAACATGGAGCAGTTAGCTGTGATTCAAGAGGCAAGCTGGGATTTTTGGTGTGGAGGAGTTTTGGGAACAAGTGGTTTTGTTGTTATCGCCGTCACTGATGACTTGTTGATGGTTGCGCTGAACTCTTCCTTGTCCCACAGGTACCACTGATGTCTTTTCAGGTCAAATGATGCCAGCTCCCTTTACCGATGCACATTAGAACCACCCACGGCATGCCAGGATACAGTTGGTTTAAGCTAGCAGCAAAGAAACATCACGGCCTACATGGCCTCTACGCCTCTTTTGACCATCAGAATGACAAGTGGCAAGACAGGCGCTTTCGCGGGGCCTTGGCGGCGCGGTCCCAGCTAAGGTTGGCTATGGTCCCTCTAGTCCTCTACGTAGCGAAACTGGTGGTTCTGCCTCCGCGAAACTGCAACAATCAATTTAGTTTCAGCCGAATATGTATCACTGTCTGCGAAACGAAAAAGCACCTTGGCACCCTGCAGCTCGTGGACTGTTTAGCAACGTTCGGCATCCAAGGCTTGCTCTCTTCCAAAATAGAAACCCTGCGTGACATTGCTAGTACCCCCGAGTGGAATATGGCTGCACAGTGTTGATGGTATGCGAGAAGTGCAAGTCGGTCTGCTTAAGATGCCTTGACAACAATGAAGAACCTGCAGTAAGCTGAGCAGGTCATCTATCATCCATAAGCCTCTGAGGTGAACGCAGAGCTGGAAGAGTAGCCCCCTCCCAGCCTCGAAAAGAGAGATGCTATGGCTGTTGAGTCAAACCCCCATAGGCCTTGAGCACTGTGTAGGGATGTTCATGTTGGCCCACAAAAGGTGTTAGCCCAGGGCTGACTCTAGATCCCAAGGCACTGCCTGAAGAAACTCATTCGAAGTGCGGAACTGCGCAGAATGCTGCTCTCATCTCGATGGTCAACTGCCTTCAGTATGATGAACCAATGGTTCTGGTTTGAGTCCAGTGTAGCCGAAGTTCAATGAACCTTGATTTTGCAAAAAGCCTTCAGCTTGGCAAGCTTGAGTATGTCCAGCCGCGTATAAACGTACCCATTTGGTACGTAGATATTCATCCAGAGTCTCTCGAAAAAAAACTGACTCCTCCATCCGGTCACTCGATTGAATCACTCTTGCGGCGGGTCGGATGGGACGTCCTGTGAGCCGCACTGTGCAGAAACCACCGAGGATCTTCGGCCGGAGGGGGAGGCCATGCTCGGCGCCTCGTGTCAACGAGAATCTCTGAGATGGTCAGACATGCAATATGAATGTCCATTAATATGCCCCAACCTATGTTTTAAAGTTATAGCGATGGCCTCCAACCTAATAGCGATGGCCTCCAACCTAATAGCGATGGCCTCCAACCTAATAGTGCAACATGAATGCCCATGAATATGCCCATGAATGCCCCAAAGATGTGAACTGACTCAGCTGGGCAAAGCAAGTTCTTCCACTGACCCGGCTGAGCGCCCAGTCCCATGAAAGTCTTGAGGTCACAGACATCGCGTCATCCTGAACAGTCAATGCAAATGCTCAAGAAACTGTGTCTCCGAGTTATACCTGCTGAAAAGCTCATTCCATCTTCCTTTGTAATCTGCTTGGAGAATCTTGAAGATGCTTCCTTTCAAGCAGTCCTGTGGAAGAATTGGAGAGAAAACATGGGTCCGTTGGGAGAAAGCACAGGGCTGGGAGAGGATCTTGCAATGAGCTTGGGATCCTTGCGTCATCGAAGTCGCCAATGACAGATTGAGCACCTCTGGCCAGCTAAATGCGCTGGAGGCAGGCGAGTTCGCTCTAAAGAATTCTTGTCCAAAGCCCATACTGCGCGGTTTGAGCCCTTGCAAGGTTTGGCTCTGAGATGAGTTCGATGTTCCCACCGAGAAGCCCTGTTGACATGTTCTCGAGATTTTACGCCCCACTCAGCTTTCTGTGCCCTGAAGCGCAGGGATCACCAAGGCTCCGCACTGGGGGACGGTGGACGGCCTGTGGATGTATCTCCCGTGTATCTGATTCTGTGTCACGATTGGATGCTTGAAGACTTCGCAATCCAGTGCCACATGGTCAACCATTCTGACCATGCCTGGAATGTGACAGGCCACTTCTCACCACAGGCTCCAGACTCCCAACTTCCCCGGTACAGAAGAAAGAACATCTACAGCTTCAAGAGTCTGCTGGCTTTAGAGGATGTGCAAACCTGAATCAAGCCACACAAGCTCAAGCCTTTCAACCAATTGCTCCAAGAGCCACTAATCTCTTCTGGCCTGAAGTTACACGGCTGGTTCCACGGATCTCAAGTCGCCATGGAAAGATCAGGCGTGACACGGTCCAAGTATGTACATCAAAACGATTGTGTTTATCTGCCGCACTTAGAAACAAGTGCCACGCTAGTAGTAACAGGTGCCTTACTAGTAGTAACAAGAAGCTTCTATGCGCAGCCACTTGTGGGTCAAAGACGCAGTGTCAAAAATCCAGCGAAGCAGAACTCTGGTCCCGCACTGACTGGCAAATTCTTCCGAGAGGCGTACCTTAGAGACCGGGAGTTTCGATAGGTCGGGAAGATTGATATTCCATAAATAACCAGGAGTGAGCTGATGCAGACTTTCTTCAAGGGGTTGATACTCCTGCCAAGTCACGTTCGCTTCACAACTGCAACGGGGCATCTCTCGCTTCCCGTTCTGGTTCCCAGACATACATCGCCACAAGCATTGTGTACGCACTAGCCGAACAATCTCTGTATATAGGTGTGTGTGTGCCTTGCAGGATGCTTTTCCTACATATGGGTTTGTATTTCAATGGGGAGTTCTCCCCCAACCAATGGATTTTGGTCTACATTCCTTCTATAAGAGGTCTTTGGAGGTCTCTACAGTATACACACTCACATCCGTCTTGGCATTCTGTAAATGATTGACAAGGATGACCGGCAATTGGAAGGCATTGGATCCTTGTCAGCATGGCTTGCGTAAGGTGAACAGTCTTTAAAGAAAGGTCAGTTACCCTCTAGTACTTGTGTTTGGGTAGAAGAGTTCTTTCAACTTCTTGCATGTTGCTATTCGGCATTGACTTCCTTCACGTCCCAAGTATGTTGCTCCATATCTATTTGGCGAGCAAATGATTTCCCGCGAATGGACCAGGCCATCGTTCTTCATTGTGGCACGGCGACTGTCCTTGTTGGGCTGCAAGCCTATGGCTAAGATTGTGCCCACATTGTGTTGTGTGTGCATGTCAATTTAAGCAGCTCGTTGAGGGGCAAGCAAATTGCAACCCCAAAACAAAATCAACAAGACTCCTACAACCTCCCCAAATGATGCTGGCTGTTGCCACAAGAAGACTGAAACCAGGATGCTGCGCACTGCTGCGCATTGCTGCGCATTGCTGCGCATTGCTGCGCATTGCTGCGCTATCCATTGCTTGGCTCTTAAAGGCTCGGACGAGCCAAATCTCTTGCCAATTGGTGGACCAGGGTTCCAGGCCCAAAGCTCTTCGGCCCCCACTTTCACATCGTCAACGACCTCAACTCACCACCCGAGCGAAAGGAAATCTTTGAGATCGAAGGGCCTCATCCCTTCAGTTCCCCGCACTTGCTGAATGGTCAAAGAAGTGACCAATTTGGGGTGTCAACACCAAAAATTGAATCTCCCAAAACTCAACATCTCCGAATAACACATGTTGCGAGTTCTGCACATCTCTCTTCCCTCCAGGTTCTGCACATCCTGCAAGATGCCGCCGGCCTCCGAATCCACCGCTCTCCGCACCGAGCGGCACCCCACCCCACACGCGTCGCTCACAGCGCGAAGCGGAGCAGCCTGCTGGACATTGAGCAAGGCGCCAAAAAGCCGGGCAGCGGCGGCGGGAGGTAGCGCCTCATGGTGCCACAAATCTGGGTGAAGACTGTAGTAGCAAAGGACGCTAGTAGTAGCAGGTGCATGGCTACTAGTAACAGGTGCATTACTATTAGTACCAAAGGACGCTAGTAGTAGCAAAGGGCATCGCTACTAGGAGCAAGGACGCTACTAGGGGCTCCTGGCCTTACTACTAGGAGCAA